TTTGGCCACTCCAACCAACGGTATCACTACATTGTAAAAGCTTCAATATTAGAATTACTTAACGAATGTAATCTTATCACAAGAAATGTAAACACCGTAAAAAGAAGGAGCATACAGAAACAGCGAATAAGATTGCCTTATTAACAGTATATGACTTGAAATATAAACACATCCTCAGAAGGAATGAGTCATAAAAAACCTGTAAAGTCGGTAACTCAAGAGAATTGATTATCCTAATTCATAAAAGCCTTTTTATATAATGTTTCATAGCACATCCATCATTTCTTCCTATATGCAGAAGGTTATGTCTGGTAACTTCAATTCTGTTGATCCACTTACTTTTATTCGTTTTGTTTTGTAGCACCTCCATTGTGAAGATCTACTCTCTCAATTGCTTCTTCTTAGCCAAAAATTATCTACAGTCAAACCAGTGTTTAATCCTGCTGTGGTGAGGGATAAGTTATGAAGATCAACTGGGACATCATAGATTGAGGAGCTAGCAATGAAGATCCAAAGGTAAGTTCTTCCTCTACTTAGATCTAAAATTATTAGATCTTCATTATAATCAGATCTCTTTGGTAATTGAGTACATGCAATTTGTTGTCTAACCAATATAATATTAGATACAATGTTAGCATAACCCTGGTGTACCACTTTCACTAGCCTAAAAGAATTTAACATGCTAACCTTAGGAACTAAAAAATTGTGTTATGGCAGGATCGAATTTTTCTCTCTAAAAAGAACACAATAGCGGATTGAATTGTTATGTAATTCTTCTATCGCTATTCTATATTCTTTTACTCATTGTTTTATGTTCACTACAATTGTCTGTTTTTAATTTTATAATCTAAGCAGTGAACATCACATCTCAAATAATTTATAGAATAAATGTTTACCTTCCATATCGATAAGAGTAGGATTGAGAAGGTTTTAAACCAGTCATTACAGCTGAATGGATGTATCCAGGATCATGCCATCCAAAGTCTTTGGCAGGGCTTGCTAATGTACCACCTACATATACACCATATAAAACATTAAGCATAAAAGATGAAACAAATTTTCTGTAATTAAGCCTAACCTGATTCCGTTTTGAATCTTCAATGAGAATAAGGGATGAGTGCAGTATATAGCCCCTATACTATATGGTTTTAGGCAATTATTCCCAAAGAAAAACATTTTTATTAACATTTACATTCTATATGCAAAGATAGTTCTCTCTCTGTCATATGTACCTATAGAAAATATCTACAAGAGAATAGGGGGGCTCTCTGCAGTACATTGAAATGTCAGGGATTCTTTCTACAACGCATTGACGTCACATAACACTAGGTTGCAAATATCACGGAGAGAACTCCATTTGAGCATCAGAGAAACTGTGTCCTAATAACAGGATATGCGTTTGCAATTATTCTTTAAAACAATTTGGATGAAACATCATTGGAAAATGATTAAAAACTCCAATAGCCGTCTTCCTTTGCAGTTTGATTATTTGTTTTATTAATGATAACACATTCTTGTTGTAGGTGTAAATCTTATTAGTACCAGAAGCTTGAGATAGAGAACTCACTGCACATATCGTTCTGAGTAAATGTAGTGACAGCTGACGTTTCAGACTTCCCATCTCCATACTGAACTTTTTGTGGGCTTTTATCACCACTGACCCATGTTAATCTCATCTACAAGCAAAAGGTGCACCACTCAGATCCTCTGAAATCAAATACGTAACTTTACATTCCAAAAATTAAAACCGATGTTCCCTGCTGGAATCTATGCTTGAGAGATGACATACAGAGGCTTATTTGGATTGCGAATTTGAGAGGCTCGATCTTTTCATTATGCAAGGAGTGTCGAATCCCCCGGTGAAGAACACAAACTCTATATCGGTTCTAATGTTTACATAATGGAATGTTATGGAGCCACTGCAAGTTTGAACCTCACAGTCATTCTCTTTGGTTTTGATGCATTCTGACTTGTTGCAGCTGAGGTATGATGGATCGTTGCTCAAGTGTTGAGCCTGTGATTATTCATGGGTGAATGATACAGATTTTAGTTTGCGTGCACTTTGACATATTCAGATGTATGCATTTGATCAATTTTAACACATGTCGAGTTATTGGTATTTGTACCGCACTTGTATCAGTTTTATTTAGGGCCCGTTTGGTTGATGTTTTTGGCCTCGGGTTTTGGACAGAAAGCCTGCAAAAGAGCACTTTTGGCAGGCTTTCGGCCCAAAACGCCTCTAAAAAGAGGCGTTTTGAGCAGAAAGCCTGCCAAAAATGTTCTTTTGGCAGGCTTTCTGCTCAACACCCGAGGCCAAAAGCATCAACCAAACGGGCCCTTACTTTCGTTATTGTATCTGTTTGAGACTCCTCAGTGGTGTGTGTGTGTCTAGCAGTTGGAGTTTCCTGTATTCATGTATAAAAGTAGCAAGGGTTAATTGCAGGTAGAACTCATGTAGTATCGTTTGTGTTATTTATTATCTCTTTAAGTTTGATATTGGCAGATGCAAATGTGAGCTCTTTTTTTTGCCCTTGGAGATGTATTTTTAAAAAAACAAAAACAAAAACTGACATACCCCAATGATAAAGAGTAAATAGCAAAAAAATCACTTATGCCGAGATCAAACTTAAGGAGTAACAAGTGGCACAGTACGATGCTACATGGGGTCTAAGTGCAATTGCCGCCCTAAAAGCAATTAAGAAAATGTAGTTATTATTATGCTCGAAATTAATAAGGTACTCCAATTACATTTTTCCTTTTCCTTCTTTTATTTATGAAGGATGGAATAGTCATATAAGAATTGAGGAATGTGTTCACCTTGACAGGATAATGGCACAAAAGCGGCAGGCTGCTGTTGTCACCAGTTTGCAAGTACATGAATTTCACCAGTGGGCAGTCTGATACTCTGCTCATAATAAACCATTTTAAGATTAAGAAACACAATAAAAAAGGATGTTTGAAATATGTAAGACATTAACTTATGATTTGTTTTGGCTTCATGCTTTCAATAATCACAAAATTTTACTTTGTTTTCGTAAAGTCTGTCATATTCGAAAAACACGAGTAAAAATGACCCCTAAAAAGCCAAAATTACCTCCCGAACCTATTTAAAAAAAGTATTATATAAACCAGAAATAGAAAAGATAAAGATGATAAGAATGAAGGCGCAATTGATGCATTAATGTGTATAAACACCCAATAGTTTTATTAAAACACAATTACTTCGTGAAAGACTATTGTTCATTTTCAAATCCGGGGAGCTTATCTACTACTTTTTTAACTTGAAAACAAAACCTCAAAATTACTATTCATGCTATCGCAGATACTATTTCATGATTCAGATTATTAAAAATACTATTTATGTTACGGTAACATTTTCAGCCTTAGCCATACTGTTCGGAGTGTAATGATTTCCCCCCATAAATAATATTCATGCTACAGTGTAATGTTTGAATGGTTAGATGCGTTGTACGCTACAATGAATATTTTTGGTCCTTTATCCATTGTTCAAGCTGAATTAATGTTTTTTACCATCGAAAATATTGTTCATATCTTTTTTTATTCTCGCAAATGATGAATTGTACCTTTACCAGATATTTCACAAACATTAATCCTTCCTGACTATAGTATAGAAAATTGATAAAACTTCCTAATTGGTGTATTATTTTATTCACTAGTTTGGAAGTTACACTCTGTAAATAATAGTAAAAAGTTGTCGCTAAAGTTTTTAAAAATTTATATATGAAAATTATATTATCAATTTGACGATAGATATAACTAGGTAAATAATATCCACAACGATGCGCCCGCTTAATACTAGTGTTATTTAAGTGAAAACTTCAGGAGGATTTGTTGAAATTCTCCATAAGTTTTTTGACTTCAAATAGAACTAAATTTGACCATCTTCTCGTAAAAAACTATAGAAATTTTATAATACTGCGTAATATTCATCATTATTTGTGTATCTTCAGCTGCTTACTCTGAATTTGATGGAGATATCATGGCAACCCAATCGGACTTATCGGGCACAATAACTCCACTAACCGTAACCGTGACGTTTCCTTCGTCATCCAACATAGAATCACTACTCACATTGATGGCAAGGTACGGGTTCGGATCCGGGCAGTCACCCATTAGCCTCCTGTTCAAAACCCGAAACCCCGATATCCTCGTATGGCCGTACAGTTCATCAGTTGAGCCACTGATCAAAGTAGGAGAAGGTGATGCAGATGACGCGTCGAAGAGAAGGAAGAAGAACAACAGAAGGGAGACCATCATGATGAGGACGTGAACTTACGAGTTAATACTTTGATGCTATGTATCATGCTCATATATGAAAGTATGAAATGTTTATATTCAATATTTGCGGTCTTAGGAAATCTCATACGGACGGTTGTGTGGAAAGTGACGCGGGAGCGGGTATCTCGGTGCAAAAACTTTGTTGAGGTGTGAATGGATTTATGATGCCGTGGTGCTTTTTGGATGTATAGTGTAGAGGACAACAATGTTTATAGTAGCCTCCGTTAAGATGTTTCTAGGCCTCTAGGTTTAGGAGTGGGGAGTACAAAAATCGTTAGGAAAATGATAGGGGCACATTCCCAACCACACCCTCTCTTTCTTTTGCTACAGTGCACCGAGCCCCACATGAGATTTTAAAAATTTAAAATCTCATGTGGGGCCCGGTGCACTGTAATAAAAAAAAATTTAAAATCTCATGTGGGGCCCGGTGCACTGTAATTTTTTTTTTTAAATCTCATGTAGGGCCCGGGGGCACTGTAGCAAGAGAAAGAGAGAGGGTGTGGTTGGAGTTGTGATTGGGGGTGTGCCCTAGAGAAGGCAGATTTTGCCCATACCCATTTGCCCACCTGACCCACCCATCACTTATCCCGCCCAAAACCCACCCATTTAGTTAAATGAGTCTAATCGAACGGGTTCCTCTCAAACCAAACTAAATGGGTGCAAAATGGACGGTCTATATTCACCCGTTTGCCCACCCATACTCCCAAAACCAAAACCCGACTCCAGCAAACCCTTCGCCTTCACTCTTCACCCTTCAGAAACTACCCGATCTCAAAAATCACGATTTTCTCTCCTCTTCATCTCTAGCTCGAGCTCGACCTCGACCTCTAGCTTCCGACCTCCTCCTCTCCCCTCGAGCTCGACCTCGACCTCCGGCCTCCGATCTCCTCTCTCTCTTGAGCTCGAGCTCGAGCTCTGCCTTCGATCACCTCTGGCCTCTGATCTCTTCTCCTTCGATCTCCACTTCTCGACCTAGATCTCTTCTCCTGCCCTTCGATCTCCTCTTATCTTTGATCCCCAATCCTCAGATCAAGAGAAGGTAATTTTATATTCTAGGATTTATTTTAAATTACAATTATTCCTTATTTTGATTTAGTTTCTACGGTTTTAAATTTTTCAATTGATATGGGCTTTATCTTCTAATTTCTAGTAGATCCTTTTTAAAAAAGTTTTACTAATTAGCTGCTATTGTTTAGTAGTTTTGTTGTAATGGGAAATGGCAGGAATTTAGATTTTTTTAATGTAATTTATAATTTATAATTCACTGCTAACCAAAATTATTTGAATGATAGCTCATTGTGCCATTGTAGTTCAATAACTTCACTGAGACACAGGCTGAATGCTTACTGAAGAGGGTACATGTTCTAGGTTTTCAGGCTGAATGCTTACTGAATGGGGAGGGAATGAGTAGTTTGGTCATCTAACCACGCTTTCGAAGTTAATATTAATCACATTATATTAAACATTCATAACCCATGAATGCTCAGAGACTGTTATATTAATGGGATTATTAGTTTATGACACTGCTGTATTCTGTAATCACTTGCTAGAATACAAACTTAGGTTTCTTTCATTTTTCTCAAGTTTCTTTAAATTCTATACATTGTATGGTGTGTTATAATATCTTATCTGTAACATGAACTGTTTATTTATTTCTATAGCACTTTGGTCATTTTCATCAAATTTCATTTTAAATCTGTAACATGAACTGTTTATTATTTCTATAGCACTTTGGTCATTTTCATCAAATTTCGTTGTATTATAATTCTACTCTTTTCACAGTGGTTTCCACGAGGGGAATTAATCGCCCATGCAGCATATTCTTGTGATAGCCAAATGATATATGCAAGTTTCACAAACGGGTGTGGCTGTATTTCAGCACTTAGATTGAGGTGTCGAATTAAGCTAGAGGTCGAGGTCGAGGTCGACATTTAGGTGCATGTTCAACAATAGGGTTTAATATAGACCCTATTGTGAACGCATTCACATTAAGGTGCATGTTCAACAATTTGAGAACTTTGGGGGGGCAAATTAAAAAAAAAACTACAACAAATCGTGAATCTTGATAAATATCTTGATCAAAATTAAGATGCTCATTTATTACAAACGGGTATAATTGGAATTAACAAAATAATCAATTAGTGATCCTCTTCCTCCACGTTTTTAGGCAAGATAGAGATAGAAACTCATTTTTGATTCAGTGCCACGTTTTTAGGTAGCAAAAAAAAAATCAATGATTGCAATGGTTAGGCAATCACCATAAAAAAGGTTGATATGAGCAAAAAATTAATGGTGATTGCCTAACCCTAATTATTTTTCTTAGAGAAACTTCATGCTTCTAATGGGTATAATTGGAATTAACAAAAAAAGTTTCAATGATTGCAATGGTTCAACTTTCTTTTATTTTTTTCTTAGGGCAACATGAAGACCAAAAAAATTCAATGATTGATATGAACAAGAATTAAGCGTTGCAATTCAAACCATTGTGCAATCATTGATTTTTTTGTTGCCTAAAAACGTGGCGGTGAATCAACGCTGGCGGTGAATCAAAATTGAGTTTTTTTCTCTCTTGCCTAAAACCGCGGAGGAAGAGGATCACTAATTGATTATTTTGTTAATTCCAATTATACCCGTGTGTAATAAATGAGCATCTTAATTTTGATCAAGATATTTATCAAGATTCACGATCCAACGGTTAAAAACTTTGGTGGACAAAGCACTCAATCCACTTAAGTTGACAAGAGTTTTACTCTCTCTCTCTCTCTCTCTCTATATATTTTAGCCACTTTCGATACCCATAGCTGCAGCCGCATGGAAAATTATAAATTTTCCATTTTTTATAAGTAAATACATATTTTTCTATGAACTTAATACATATTTTTGTGAATTATTATAATTAAATAAATTAAAAAATAGGCAAACGTCTAGGCACAGCCTAGGCACTAGACCCCGGCTCAAACGTACAGTTTGCCTAGCGCCTTCTGTAACATTGGGTGCATATATGATAATACCTTTCATTTTGTGTTATGACGATGGTTTAAACTATTTGTTGATATCTAGTAATATATTTCTGAACTTCTAACAATAGCATTTTATATTACATCTTGTTATTGTGATTTTTGTTACGCGAATGATATGCTCATGGTCTTGATATCTAGGCAGGATTCATCTTCCACACATGTTGACACTGCACATATCTTAGTGTAATTAACCTGCAAAGTTTAGGGCTCAATGGAGAAGCATAACTCTGACATGGACTTTATCAACATTAATCCAAAGTTTAAAAAAAAAACTTATGATGTTGTATTCCTTTTCCCGTGTCGGAACAGACATTTAACTAATACTTGTTAAAAATATCATTAAGTCCGCATATGGAAAGATGAATTATTATGATTCTTATAGTTTTTTATAGGATTGTTTCTGTTAATTGAGTATACATCCCAATTTGCTGACCCTATCATCTCAGAAAACGGAAGTTCTTGTAACTTTGAAGATTTAGAAGGATCAATGGAACATCTCAACCTTGAAACAGCTCCACGCTCTAGCAATGATGACAAGGATTTGAATGGTATGATCTTATGCTACTACGATCGCTCACCTGTTATCTTCATCAATGTTATGGAGGATGTTAATTAATTTTTGTCTTTAGGATGGATTTCTGAAATTTTACTTGCTTGTCATTCTTCCTCCACTAATATTTTTCATCTCATTTGGCAAGAAAATAGGAATTTCATTGAGATGCAAAACATTCGGGGGGAAAAAACTAAAAAGGTTCACATGTTATTCTCTATTACCTGTGAACAAATCCTCTCATTTACCTTCAGGATTCCCTTTTTTAAGAAAAAAAAGGAAGAGGTCAAAGCCTCAATCTGCTTCATTCAATTAGGAAATGAAAGAAGCCAAACCTTCCGGATTTATTTCATGGATATTGAGACAAGTTTTGTAATGTTCATCAGCTGCCTACTGCAAGTTATGCAATATCTGGACCCTTGTCCTGATTTGAGATCGGCGTAAAAACTAATTTATAAAGCACAACATGGGTGGTGTTTATATCTCATTCAAGTCTGGCATTTAAATCTAGTCATTTCTTGGGTAATAAACCTTTCTACCTTTTGTTCTCCTCTATGTTTTCATTTTCTTTTAGAGCAATGAGTATACTTGTTGGTTTAAGAAAAAAGTGAGATAAAAATACATCACGCATATATCTTTGTCATTTGAAGAGGAAATAATGCATTGTACTTGATAATCTTGTTGTTCGATACATAAAGATTGAACTGCAAACATTTATTAGTAGCTTTTTTCTTTTTCCACTGCTAAGAGCATGTTTGGCAAATGGTATTTTTTGCTGGATTATAAGACACAAGGTTTGACCAAGTAAAAGGCATATATACCCCTCATGATTTCTCAAAATTCAAGTGATGGCCTTTCTGGTGGATTGTGAGTCATGTCCTTTTTGGTCATTTTGATAATGGATTATAATCCACCCATTTGACAAACACCACTATTCGAAAGGGATTATAATCCATTAAATTTACAAAACACTATGGATTATAATCTAAGTGGATTATATTGCTAATCCTAGTGGATCACAATCCAAAGTTGCCAAACATCCTTTAAGAAAGCTGGTGGGAAGCCAACAATCGATGACTCAAAAAAAAAAAGGAAGAAGAAGAGGGAAGAAAAGAAAATTTCAGTGTGAATATAAGGATGTGCAGAAACTAGTTGGTTCATTCATCATTCAAAGTTCTCTTGTATGGATGAATGGTGTGCAGGTTTTTTTCCCCTAGTTATTATGCTTAATTTTTTTGGGGTCAACATTTTAGCAAGAAAGAGTCTGTTACTTACCTATAATTTGTTAATGATTAGTTGAAGTGTAATGTGTGTAATGTGTGCTTTGGGACTCATGGATATTAGATGGTTATATGAATTTCTATTTAATAAAAATTTCTTGATCATCCCTCTTACTGGTTTGCTCATTGATTCTTGATGGTATAATGACATAAGCATATGCTATATTTCTCTTGATGATAATGATATTTTCTCTTTCTTACCTTTTATTATGTTTATACTTGATTATTTGTAGATGACGATATTGACTTCTGGGGTGAAGATGAAACCTTAGATACCGATACAAATGAGGCCTCAAGTCATTCATCTTTTCTAAACAGGGAGTGGAAACGGAGGCATGAACAATTTCATACGGTATCCTCACATAGAAATTTTTGCAACATTCAATCTCTTCATATTTGTACCAACACTGCATAATCATTTCAATGCACCAATTTATTTCTTAAACACTTCAAGATGGGATATCGAGATGGCATTACAGCAGGCAAAGAAGCTTCTGCACAAGAAGGTTTTAATGTTGGCTTTAAGCAATCTGTACACAGTGGTTACAATTGGGGCCTTGTTAGAGGAATTTCTAGGTATGACTCTCCTATAGTTGTTCTTTCAGGATAGTCGGAAATTTTCGGATGATTACTAAATCACTTTACTATGCAGTGCTTATATTAATCTTTCTGACGATCTGAAAGAAAAGTTAGCAAGAACAGTTGAGAAAAGGGAGAGGCTTCGGAACTTATATCAATCTTCTCATAAAATTTCCACAATGGACGCACTCAAAATGTATCACGAGAGCATCCAACGTGCAGAGACTAAGCAAGAACCCTCAGAAAGCAGTTCTCAGATAAGTAGCGGTGATAATGGAGAACTTTCTATGTACAATCAGTTAGATGACCTTTTTAAGGAGCTTATCTCAATTCAGCATGATTCACCAGAAATTGATTTGAAAATAGAGCAAAGACGAGAAATTCCAGAATAGTTTTCATTACAGGCACAAGCATTCTTATGATTATGGATGTGAGTCAATGTGTTGTTGTAAATAATTGTATTTTTGGAAAGCTATACTGAGCTGTTATCTTCATAATTATTTATGTTATCTTGTATCTTTTATATCTTATTGATTGTTAGAATTTGTGATTCTGAATAGTTGAATATTCCCATTTCATGTAATCAGTATGAATTCTCATGTGAAGAGCTCATGTCTGAATGGAGTTCTGGATGAGTTGAATTGCTATTGTTGATTTATCGGTCTGTGATGAAATATTTCAGTGAAGAGAGTCAGGATTCTTGAACATTGCTCTAAGTTCCATCTTCTAGCAACTGGATGCGTTGTATAAGAATAAGTGGGACGCTCAAATGTCGAAAAGTTGTTTTCTCTTTGTGCCATCAATTTTTTTCTTTGTGCCATCTTCGTTGATGTTATTTATAGAACAAATAATCTGGTTTTGTTTGATGCTCATATTTGTCTTCATCGTGATGATGATACTCTTATTCTTTACTTGGAAGATTGAAAATCTATCCTCCGTCTCAAACCGCGTCTGTGTATTTGAAGCCATATCAGCCAAATCCTTCATTGATTTTTAATCCTTCTTCACTTGTCACTTTTCTTCATTTTCACAAATGCTTCACTTAAATCCGACTACAACTCTTTTAAGGTTATGTAGTGAAAATTTACATAATATTCCACAATCAAGCTACAATGAATTATTTACAGGGGGAAAAAAACCAACCTACAGAGAACGTAACACGTATGATATCTACTCAATTTCAAATAGTTGTCAATATGTACCCATCAAATTTGGGCACAAAACTAACAAGAGCTCTCAAGGCTTTCAAGTTGTACAAGCTTTTGTGTATATTCAGTATATAATCATCGAGATCCTCGAAGAGGACTAACTTTCTGAGGAAAGAAACTTTATGGGAAAGAACTAAATCAGATCCATCACTAACTATAATGATACGAGAAATAAACTTCTCTAACCAATTATTTATGTACATGCGTTGAATACAAAAAACAATATAATCAACTGTGAGCCTGATCAAGATTCACTTGCACAAAAATTGTGAGAATCACAGTAACCAATAAAAATAAAACATGCACATCATTTGCTCTTTCCCAACCATCTGTCATTCTTTTCCATCGCATTCATCCAAAACAGCACCATGATCTCTTCTATTATCATCACATCTCGACTCTGATCCTTCCAACTCGCCCTCATGATCCTCGTCGTGTTCAGAAACTGAGCTCACATCCTCACAACTTTCCATGTGCAAATTTTCAACATCTGCTTCAGCCAAGGAGCTTTGCTGTTGCTCTGATTCACTACTACTTCTTTGTATAGGATTTATCACTTCCCTCCTCACAACATTGAAAACTATCCCGTTATGTATTCTTTCAGGTTGTATCAGATCCCCTTCAGAAACCATAATGCTAGCAGTTCTATGACTAGACTCACGAGATTCAGAGTCTGTGTTATCTGAGCTTCTATTCGAACGCAGTGCTAGACTTTCAGGATCCTCTTCCCTCGGCCAAACCCTGTTGAAATCTAGATCGAGCTCAAGATTCTGAACAAAATTTATGAATTTATGGGCTGAGGCCGTCCTCATCAGGGGCCCACCAGACCTTGTCCAAGAATTAAGGTCTATGCTCTCTGATTCACTGTCACTACCATCATGCAAACTCCTGTGGAAAACTCGATTATTTCTCAAAATGGCTGCAGTATCGGTGAGAGCTTCATCTTCAAGTGATCCTGATGAGTTCTCTCTAGCAATGCAATTCCACGAAGGGATTCTTCTAGAAGCGTTGAACCTGAAAGTGGAGTTTATTGGTTGCTGCCCTTGTGATGCTGCAGTGGCTGCTGCTGCTGCTGCTGCTGCTCTCTGAGCGCTTCGCTTTAGGCGACGCATGTGGTTTAAGAGAGCTACACATTCGTCCAAGGCGAGTTCGATGGCGCAATTGGCTTTTATGGCTGACAGTTTTTCCCAAGTGCACCTTCGTCCTTGGTTTGAGGCCTTTTGGAGTTCTAAGTACGATGGGTTTTGTATGATCTTGGAGTACTGAAAATATATAGGGGAAAGACAAAATGTTACCAATTTGAGAGAAGATCATTTATT